TTTCGCAAAGTGATTTTACAAGTTTAATAGAGGAGGAATGGAATAAGATCGACGTAGAGTTATGTCGCAAATTAGTATGATCAATGTCTAAGAGAATAAAATTAATAATAGACAATAAGGAAGGTGAGACAAAATATTAAAAAAAATAAATAATAGATTCTAAGCTATATATATCTAAAATTTTACAATCTAAAAATAAAAATTGATTAAAGTTTATTATATTACATTATTTATTGCCACCACTGTACAGTACATAGTGGCTATAGCGGGTACATATGAGATAAGGAAAGTATATATATCATTACGTATTTAATTCATAAACCAGATTTCTTACGCCATATACCAGGACCTTTAGGGACGAATCTACGATTCATATAAAACGCTACCATGTCTTCTCACGATTCAACACCCTCCTCACCCATCTGTACTCTCTACTTTGACGGAAGAAAGGTCAACTTGCGCGATGGCAGACATTGTGAAAGATTATGATACAGAAGAACTTATCGATTATTTACAAAGGCGAGATCTAAAGCTTAAGGAAACACATTTTAATATCTTGCGAAAGAAGGAAATTTCTGGCCGTTCCTTTCTCAAATTAACAGAAGAAAAACTTAGAAGTATTGACTTTGCATTGGGACCTGCGACTATCCTTGCTGATTTTATCGAAGAGATATCAGAACAAAAGATACGTAGTTTCTCGTCATACAAAACTCTGGAAGAACTGAAAGACGTACTCCGTAAATATAAAGTTAACGGTGAAGATATTACGAACGTCAAACAATTCAACCCGGGTATGTGGTACTTTATTTTTCTTGGCAAAAGTGATCGGCAAAAAACGTGACAAAATGTAACGATCGAATATAGGTGTATGCTAATGTTTTTTCTGTTAGATAGTTTTCGAGGAAATCGATGATAATGATAAAGCCCTCGAACAATGCATGAACTACGGTTAACGAACGTAAAATCAATGATAGAAGCCAACGAGGCAACCCGATGTGAATTTATTTCATCAATATTACACGCATCAATCGCAATCGCACGGAGGTTAACGGATAAAGAAATCAATATAGAATTACAGAGGGATATTTCGGGTGAAGAAGCGTCTGGTAGGGTTGATTATGGATGAAGGATCTTTTGTGTATCACTGAGGGAAAACCACGAAACATCAAGATAGGATACCTACAGAATATCATATAACTCGAGAGATCCTTCCACATGAACAAGAGAAAACGAACTGTGGACGAAGCATTTAAGACCGACGATTACAATTATCTTTATGAGGTCGTCTCCACAGCCATGGATTGGCATTTCATTATGTTTACTTCTGATGGGATTTTCTGTACAAGTAATAGCGAATATCAGATAAATCTTACGAAAAAAGCACTTAAGGGAAATCATGAAAATTTGAGGGATGATATAAAACAGATGATCGGTATAATTGTGGGGTTATTGAAAGATAGGATTTCTTCCTGTGATGAATCCGAATCCAAGAAGCGTCGCGTGCAAGAAAAAAATACCAAAAAATAACGAATAGATAGTTTACCCACCTCATGTATTTTATATATATATTAATAAAAATTTTTTTCCTGATCGTGAACAGTGTTTTATATAAAAAAATGTCAGATGCACAAGCCCAAAGGGACGAATCTAAAGATTCACGAACTGCAATTGCTTCATTAAGAGAATTAAATGCTAAACTCTTAGCTGAAGTTGCCGGGCTTAGAATGGAGAACGATAAGATTCCTGATCAGCATCCGAGGTTTTTATATTGCTGATGATTTACAGCAGCGTGCATCAAGAATGATTGGCTAGATTTGCAGATCAATAAACAATAACGACACAATGGAATCTTCAAACGCGTTTACAATGGAATCTTCTAACGCTAATACTTCTGGTTTAAAATACCCTGGTAAACTTTTACTTAATCCCTTCGCTGTATTCAAAGACACGTGTTTTTCATATGTTTGTTTTTTCAGAATACTGGAATCGCCCATATTCAGCTTGGGGGACTCTTACCGCATGGGATAAGTTTTTTAAAGAGAAAACTCGCAATTTAAGTTTGCAGGATTCGCGCCTCTGTTTAACTAAGGAACTCGAAATATTAGAAGGGAAGTTTGGACCTCGTACAAATCAAAGAAAAAAAGTTGTTGCTCTTCTCAGAGCTCTCAAGGTCAGTACTTTCGCGCTTCAACTTCTACATGTGTGCCATTTTTTATGGAGAGCGTCCAGACATAGAGCATCCGCGACATGCATATGTAGTAGTTGAGCTGTGCCCCTGTGCTACATGCATGGGGGAGAGCGTCCGGACAGAGCATCCGCGACATGCCCCATGCTACATGCATAGGGGAGAGCGTCCGGACGAAGAGCATCCGCGACATACCCCTGTGCTACGGGAGAGCGTCCGGACATAGAGAGCATCCGCGACATCCAGTTAGAGAAAGTCCTGACTTAGCATTCTTTGCTAATTTTTTTTTCTCAAATTAATAAAATTATTAGAAAGGATCAGTAAGTCTTAGAAAAAGAAAAGTAGATCACGAAAATGATGATGACAGCGTATGTGAAGTAGAGGAACTCCACGTCGATGTTAACGAATTTCCTGATTTACTTGAGTACTGTCAAAATATCAAAGAAATGCAAGAAAATCATATTGATGAGATTTCTCAGTTGGGAAGACACCTTTCTATACTTTTAAAGTGGTCGGTTGTAGATAGCAAGCTTTTCAAGACACCTGTAACTTCACCGATTATTTCGAGACCTGCTCTTAATCTTCATAACCTCAAAGTCATATTTAAAGAATATCCTGACCTACAAGCTGATAACATTTTGGATGCATTAATTGAAGATAAAAAAATCGGAATATTCCGAACAAACGGGTGGTTGGAATGGCTTGGCCTAAAAAAACAAAATCATGTTGACTACTTTTATTTGGTAGATACTTATACAACACTGTCAGCAATCATGTCAGTATTCCTTTATAATCCTGTTCAATGTTGAGGACTTAGTAGCTACCCATCAGAAGCTCATGTAAAGATTCAGTTATGGTCAAAAATATTATCAGATTCATTCACTTTGAATCAAGTTCGATTCGAACCAACCTGGGAACTTAACCACCTTATTCCTGGGAATGCTAAGGAAGGTTCATCAAGATCTGATTTTTCCGCAGTGATTTTGAACTCGAGGCAATGGCAATTCCCTTTTTTTATCGTTGAATTTGAACAGCACGGTTTTGAGGTTCACAAGGATTTCGCAGTTGTTGTTTGCGAGGTCGCATTTGAGTTAAACAAAATTTTATCAAGAACACAAGGTCTTTTGCCTGCTGAAACAATTAAAATCAAGATATATGTTGGACTCATTAATGACACGTCCATTAATATAGGTGTGATCAGACCAATATTTAATAATGATAAGACAGCAATACTTTTTGCATATGATCGGGACATTGTTTCTTATAACATTCAAACAGGTTGTCAACATAATAATGTAAAAAATGTTCTTGATTTAATAGTATATTTTCGGCAAATTGTGTGCAGAGATGGATTAGTTATCAAGGACTTCTTGGAAAAATCGGAAAGTCATCATAATCAAAGTATTTCAAAGGTAATGCCAGAACTCCCAAAGATGGCAGAAAAATCTCGGGAAGCACTTACTAAGATAACACCTAAGAAAAAGCGGGTCAAGTATACATATACCAATGGAATTGAAAATCTGTTAGAAATTAATTGATAATAATATATGTGGTGTGATGTGGGTGTGTAACTGTACATTGGAAAAATCAATACTTAAATGCGTCTTATTCGAGGAGCAGCCTATAATGGATATTACGATCATCAATAATGTGTGCCTTGGTCATGTGATTATCGTGAAAAATCATGCCGACTGAAATTATAAATATTAATTCCAATGAAGCTATCTCGTTAGAATAAAAATCTTTGCAAAATTTCAGACGTAATACACATTTCTATTTTTATGCTCATCGATGAGGATACATAATTGAGTATCGGTCCATTCAACCATTTTTATTATATTTGTCCCGACAATAAATATAATGAATAGACTGCGAGAAGGTGGATTTGTACTTCAGCAGTACTTTAACCATACTTTAACCATATATCCGTGATTATATTGTATAATTTAACGGTATAAATCTATGGATTTTCATTTACTTTTTTCACGTAAAAGTAGTATAATTAACTGAATTCGTATACTGTACCTCAGATTTGCATATCTATCTCGGACCGGACCTCAAGTGGTGTGTGACATAGTGCCCCAAGGGAGCAACCCAATGTAATCATGTCACGGAAAATGGATTTATGCTTGTTATATATACATTGTCGAAGTCAAGCTAAGTTAACTTGTGCTTTTATACTTACTATGTTAATTAAATTCTAATATTTATTTGTATAGCAATAAAGATGATAAGTTTATTCGCACAATATTTATTAATGATAAAATATTTGCAGATATCTTTTGACAAGAGAGTATAAAATCTTTACTTGTATATATCATATATTTATTGAATTATAAGAATCTAAAAAACAATATTTACATGAAAAGAAGTTGTCATACACTAGTTAAAAAACAATTATTTGACATATTGCTACTTATTTAACATTTAGCAAAAAATAAACAATTTAGCAAAAAAATAATATACAAGAGACAAAAAAAAAATGCCTTTTTTAAATATATTTAGTTTAATAAAGAATTATTTAAATTAAATTAAACTAAAATATAAATACTTAAATACCTAAAACTTAATTTTACTTAAGACTATTTTATAATTTTTATTATTATTAATATTTTATATTTTTATTTTAATTAAAAAATTTCATATTATACATAAATTTTACAAACTTTTTTTTTTTTTTATAGTTCAGCAGGCCTACTTTATTAATTTTAGTATAGTACATATTACTTGAATTAATAAGCTGTTTACTAACTCATTTTCTTTATGTATTTTCCTACACTAACCTATTAAAAAGCTAATTGATTTTGACAATCACTTATGACTTGTTGCTCCCTATTGGAAACTAACATGTCTAGGCTCCGTTAGCACTGATTTGAAAAATGTCAAATATATTATATATTTCTTTTAGGATGTTACCTATTATGTTCTATGTGCCAGCTTGTTTAGACCTGTTTTTTATTATTCTTTCTTTTTTGTGTAGTTTCTGTTGCATTTTCTTTCTCTTTTGTTTAATGGATATTTTGTTGTTCCTTTTTTCATTGTAGCATTCTTCTGCATCTGTCAAGCCAGATGTTAAAAATGAGGAAGCTGATGTATTGCATAATGCTTTGGGGGTGTCTGACAACTTTTCATGTCCTATTGTTTCTATAATGAGGTTATTTAAGGCCTTGCTGATATCTACTCTGAAGATAAGTGTGTTTAGGTTTTTAGTGCTGAGCTTGACTTTGTTGTGTATTATTTGAGGGGACTTGTCATTTTTCCTTTAGTGGAGTTCACTGTATATGTTTCTGTTGATTTCCTTATAGATGTCGATATTATGTTGAATGCAGGTGAAGGGTGATCATTATGTTCTATCTCTTTGCAACTGTGACACTTGTTTGTTTTGTATATATTGGAGTATCTTTTATAGAGTTTGTCTATGGTCAGGAGTTCTTGGTTCCATAGTTTGATAGAGAAGCTGTGCTGTTGAGAGTCTTACTTGTCTATTTGCAGTGGTTTTTATTTACTTCGAAATAATGTTATACATATGATAACTTATATATGGTAAATATATTACATACTATATATATTAACTAGTCCATTAAGAGAAACCATATGATGCTCTCTTAATTTTTCCTAGAAAAAAAATTTTTTTATAGAGTAATCTAGTTATCAGACCATTGCGTTTGCTCTAGCCTGTCCCCAGATTTGGAACTTCGGTGTGCTTCACAAATTCCTCCTCCCACCAAGTTCTCTCGATGATAAGTCTTACCATATATTAGGCCATGCTTTTAAGTATTCCACCGGTAATGATGGGTCCCTAAAGTATTTAGCATATAAAATTTCGCAGATTACTTATGTCCCTTTTTGAGGGACAAAATTCATAGCTCTTCACTTTAATAGGGACAAAAGTCAGGAAATGCTATAAATCAATGATTTAGATAATAGAGAACAATTGTAGGTAGTTTTTTTATAGTTATTAATTTAAAAATTTTAATTTTTTCTAGTGAGGGACATTTGACTTATGTCACTGCCACCCCCTTTAGGAACCCATATTTATCTACCAGTACAATGTTTACTCTTCTTCGGAACTTTAACCTTCTTAACTTATGGCAACTTCTTGCGGTTGGTAAGATTGTCAAGGTACCTTGTAGTTTTTATTTACTTCAAAATAATGTTGTATATATGATAACTTATATATAGTAAATATATTATATACTATATATACTAACTAACCCATTAAGAGAAACCACATGACACTCTCTTAATTTTTTCTAGAACAATTTTTTATAGAGTAATCTAGTTATCAAACTGTTGTGTTTGCTCTAGCCTATCCCCAGATTTGGACTTCGGCATGATCCGTGGATTCCTCCTCCCACCAAGGTCTCTTGAAGATAAACCTTACCACATATTAGGCCATACTTTTAAGCATCCACTGATACAATATTTACTCTTCTTCAGAACTTCAACCTTTTTAATTTACAGCAACTTCTTATAGTTGATAAGATCATCAAGATATTTGGTGTCAATCCAATCTTTATTCTGGTTGTAGTGATCATAACGGATCGAATCGGATCAGATTTTAACTAGATTCAATTTGATCCAATTTTTATAAATATGAATCGGATATGGATCTGATTAGTTTTAAACCAATCCGATCCGATTCGAAACCTTAACAGTTTGATCTGATCCAATTTGAATTTGAATTTGATTTGATTCGATCCGATCTGAATCTGATCCAAATCCGAATCTGGATCGAAATTGAATCTGATTTAGATTCTATGCAAAAACAACTTGAAACTGATTTGGTACATTTTGAATCTGTTTCAAAGCATGTTCCACTATAGCTGCTTTAATTTAACTAAATT